CTTTTTGCTTTTGTTTTATATATATGTATATGTATATATATATATGTTGTATATATCTTAAAGTTCTATGTCCTGGGCGCTAAAACAAGATATGCTTCAGTTCAACCAACAGCAACTAAAAAGTGTAAGTGGTCCCTGCAACGGACCGACTATGTACAGCGTTCCCGCCGGGGCGGAAGCTCGAGCCGGTTCTACGCGGGGCGGGGCTGAGCGTGAGAGGCTCGGGGCGCGCTCCTCCCTCGGGGGCCCGGCCCCCCGCGCGCCCGGCGAGGGGGCAGGAAGAGCCCCGAAAGCTCTAGCCTGAAGGCGGGGACCGGGGCCAGGGCAGAAGAAGGGACCGCAGCCTGCACGGGAGGAATGCTTGGCGGTTGTCTGGGAGCGGAGTGTGGGTGCGCTCCAGCGGGCAGACGCATGCCAGTTAGTGACTCCAGTGTCCAAGAAAGAATAAATAAAAGTGTAGGGCTCAGACAGCCGGTCAGAGCGACGAGCCTCCGAAGGCTGCAAGTGCATACTAACTGTCCCGAAAGCCGGGGAGAGGGTGATTTAGGAGTTCGGTAGGGGTTGAAGAGGAGAGCGCATAGCTCTCCCGCATAGGACCTGTGGGCCAAGCCAAAGCACCAGTCCCCTCATCCAAGGGGTGGGCGGGTTTGCACCCCACCCCACCCACAGCCCCAACCCCAGCAAGGGGCATGAAGATGAGGGCGGCAGTGCAGGCAATGGGCATCTTTTAGGGGCATGAAAATCAGGTCTGGAGAAGCCGAGGCAAAGGCGGGTGGTGCAGCAGCAGCAACAGGATGGGGACCACGGAGGGCGCAGGTAGTTTCGTTTCTCTTCCTCTCCCACTCCAGGGCTCACAATACCTGGAACCGCCATGAGGCTTGGTCTTTATAGTCCAGGCAGTCGGGCGAGTTGAAGTTGAGTTTCCACGCAGAGGAAGCCGCGGCGGCGCCAGGCTCCTTGTAATCCAAGCAGTCGGCAGAGTTGAAGGCGAGCCCCGAGCTGGCGTAGCCCTGGTGGTGGTGGTGGTGGTGGTGGTGGTGGTGGCCTGAGGACTGGCTCAGGGGGTGGTGCGCGTGGGGGTGGTGGTGGTGGTGGCCCGCCATGGAGGATGGTGCCATAGGGCTGAGCTGGTGCGGGTGGTGGTGCGAGTGCATGGGCGCCAGATAGGAGCTGCAGTCCACGCCGCCGAAGTACGAAGAGGAGGGCGCGGGGTAGCCCTGGCCGTAGCTGCCGCCCTGGCCGTAGGACATGGGGTAAGAGGCTGCGGCCGAGGCCGCTCCAGCGGCTACCGAGCGCTGCATACACGACGCGTTGCTAGGTGCGGCCAAAGGCTCGGGCACCGACACGGACACGGGCGCCGAGCCTGGAGAGATGGAGGCCGGGCTCCAGATGGACGAAGCGGCGGACGTACTCAAGGACGACGGCACTGCTCCCGACGGGTTCCCTCCCAGGCCTGCAGCCGCTGCCGCCCCCGGATTGGCGGAGGTGCTGGAAGCCGAGCTGGAGGACGACGCGGAGCTGGACACGGCGGGCGGCGTGAACTGGCCGCTGCTTTCGGAGCCGGAGCTCTCCCGCACCGGCGACGACTTCTTCTTGGCCGGGCGGCTCTTTGTCCCGCCCCCGCTCTGCTGCTGCTGGCGGCATTTGGCGCGACGGTTCTTGAACCAGACCTGCAGCAGGCCGGGTCGGGGACAGAGTGTCAGTAAGGCTAGGAAGGCTGGCTACTCCCCTGCCCCTTGGGCCCCGCCACCCCGCCTAGGACCTCGCTTTGCACTCTTACCCGAGGCCACCGCCCCTTTCATCTCCAGCCCAGCCAGACCCAGCCCCTGGCCCTGCCTTCCCAGCTTTCTCCCAGCTCCCCCACCCTCCCCTATCCTACTGCTCTAAGACCCTCCTCTGGCCAAGTAGGGGTGCGCCCCCCTGCACACCCAGACCAACTCTGCCCCAGGGTGGAACATCTAAGTCTGTCCAGCCACAAGTTCAGCCACCTCTAAACTGCTGCTGTTGGCTGCTCTCCAACTGCCCCTGTAGGTTTGGAGGTCTGTCTTCTAGGGCTAGAGCTCAGGAAACAGCAGAGGCAGAGAGCAGAGACAAGTGCGGGACAGTCACCAAGTTTGGGATCCCAGCCAGGGGCGGGGCGGTGTGGCAGGGCGAGAATTGGGGCGGGAGCAGGAGTAAAGTCAGGAAGCTGAACAGAGGCAGCACTCGGAGACTAGGAAGGAAGCCTGGGCAGAGTTTCTTTGGGCTTCTTGGCTCCAAGTGGGGAACCGAATCATACAGTCAATCATGAAGTTCTCACTCCTCTTGGAAGGCCCCGCTACTTGGCATTGCATTCCTGGTTATTTCTCGAGCCTCCGGGGAAAGAAGGCGAGATAAAAGGCCCTTAAGGAGAGTTCTGAGTTATAATCCAAACAGTATTTTCAGGACCCTTTTATCGCAAAAACAGAAACAGCAAAGCCGATAGCCCAGTATTGCGTTTGGCATCTTCTTGGGGCAAAGGGAGCGTCTACTCAAACTGGCCCTACTGGCGGAGCCAACTCCCAGGCAGGGCACCAGGCTCCTGCCAAGCTCCACTCTTCCATTTCCAGGATCCCCAGGATGCAAGGCAAGGACTGAGGCAGAATTCAGGACCCTGAAGGAAACTGTCAAGCCCTGGGTAGGCCTAAGAAGCAGGGGCAAGTGTCGGACCCTCAGGGAACTTTGCCATTCAGGAGCCTCCTCTGTTCTCCTGCAACCCTAAAAAGGCGCCCTGGGGCCAAAGGCCAAATCCAGGGCTCTAAGCTAGTTCCTTTAACTTTGCCCCCTCTTCTAGGCCCAGGCGTTGGGGAGGGGGTGCGGTGTCTGGGAGGGGCCCGCCCAGTCTGTAAGCCGGACCTAAAACCAAACCACCGTCCCCAGGCCTTCTACCACCCCTACCCTGACCTGGAGCGCCCGGCGCGCGCACCTGGACTCTGGACTCCGGCAGGTTGATCTTGAGCGCCACCTCCTCCCGCATGAAAATGTCAGGGTAGCGAGTCTTGGCGAAGAGCGCCTCGAGCACGTCCAGCTGCGAGCGCGTGAAGGTGGTGCGCTCCCGCCGCTGCTTCCGAGGGGTGGCTGAGGGGACACGCGGGGGCGCCTGGGGTCAGCGGTGGCCACGAGGACCCGCGCCAGAGGACTCTGGCAGGCCCCTGGCAGGCCCTGAGCGGAGACGTGGCAAAAGAAAGCCCATCTCCGAGCAAAAGAAACTCCCCCAGAGGCCGAGCCCGAAAGGCCACAGGTGGTAGGAAGCGCATGTGTGTGACTGCGAGCCACAATCTCCAAGCCTCTGGGGCTGCCCCCTTTCTTGACTCTGGGAGGTTAAGAAAGGAGAATTATGCACTCCCTTCTCTCTCTCTCTCTCTCTCTCTCTCTCTCTCTCTCTCTCTCT